TAGCTGCATGACACTAGTGCCGCTTTCATAAGGTTTCCTAAATACCTTGGGCTAGAGAATTTATGGTAATCCGAAAGTAGGGAGGTTTATATTCTCAAAATGTAAATTTGCGGTTTTGACTTCAAAATTAGCAGTGATAGTACTGTAGATTAGTGAGTTCATCGTAAAGTCACTAATTTCGTAGTTTCTGTGAATTTTGGCGGACACAAGAACTCAATGTTTTCAACGTAATTTCGCCTTTCGCTGTACTCAGTGAAAGGCAACAGTTACGCCTTTACATGAACTTTGACGATGTATTAAACGCTGATGGGTAGATCGAAACATATAAAAGGGAAGATGCTAAACAGCTTCATTCTTTGTGCATATGTCATAATGCGCTATTTTAGCCGAGCTCCTACTAAAATCATAGATTTTTTCATTACATACGCTTTCTGAAATAACTCAGCATGATGCTCTCATTCCAAGGCTCATTTCACAGACAAACAGATTTGTGTGCATGCCAGCGGACTTCCATGAGAGCATGTTCCACGACTTTCTAGAGCAAAAAGAAAATCTTCAAAAATCAAAATACTTGATTAGGATGTCAACTTTGTTTTTTCCAAATTCATGTTCCATAATCTACTATTAATTGCGCATGTGCTATAGTGCAGAGAGAATAACAGTAAGGAAGTCCGTTGGGCATCGCGGAACCACCTTTTTTGTCTGATGTAAGCGCTCCATGGCCCCATGCCCATGCAATCAGTCCCGATATCAAGGTTAATGTAGCGAGGCAATGAAGGTGTCAATTGTTAAAGCATGCCAGCGCTTGATGCGCGAAAAACTTGCGGGAATGTTAAAAAAGTTTTTCAAGACTTTTCATGACCTGTGCGTTCACCTCCTATGAACAAAAGTTGGAGAACGACTGTCTGTAAAAATCGTTTTTGCCTTATTTACAAATTTTGCGAATATCAAGATTACGAAGAGCAGCCCAAAATTGTTTCAAAACGATAATAGATTTATTCACCAAACTTCTTTAAAGTCTAGAAATATGGCGCGAAAAGAATACAGTTTGATTCATTCTTGGTGGCAGGAAAAGTGATGTTTGGAAGATCAAATTGTTAAGCACTTCAGTAATGCAAACGCCTTTGCAAGTAATTTTCTGTTAATAGGTTCGGAAAATGGATGCAAAGATGTTAGAGCAACATTTTTTGATTTTCTTCTTTGATAAGCACCTAGCAGACAAGCCACCACCTAGCTAAAGCGCTACACAAATTGCATTACTATGTCAGAGTGTGGTACTTGGGAGTAGTTTTGTCGCACTGTATTTAGATTGGTAACTTCTTGCTATTAACAGCTCGGCACCATTTATGAGCAGTGAAACAAAATCTCTCAGATTCCGATTTTTTTTGAGTTTAATCGACAGAAATCTGAATCAGAATCCCTCAATAGGGGTGGCAATTGTTACTGAAGATCCGTGGGGAAAAATCAAAGACGTATCCTTCTTCCAAGCAATTGTAGGTACGCATTGCTTGCTGGGTTGGCATCTTGTCAAGCTCGTAAAGGACGTTTTTTTTTCGAATGAGCTTATCAAGAGAAATGAGTGGATAGTTGCTAAATTATTAAGACCGTGGTTTGCAGTGCGCACCCCTACGATTCGGCGAAAAGACAATACCGTAAACATTTGTTAATATGCGTGTATTATCTACACCACTCAACTCATCACTTAAGCGGACGAGCGGAGGCCTCAATTCAAACCGGTTACTCGCATAATCCGCGGGCTGGCAGAAGAGTTGCTGTAGTAAAATTTAGGACCTTTAACGCTACCGAGATCCGATTGTGGCCGACCCCTATAGTCATTCATACAATCACTAATTACACTAACCGACTCAGATAGTCACCGGGGCGGAAGGAACGCGAACTCGCTTTTTCTGCAAGAGTCGGCCAAATTCTGGAGCGTGGCCCAAACCTTCAACGAGCGATACTTCCTTCACTGTCGCATGACCTACCAGCGGGCAGCAATACAGGATTTTTTGCGAGCGCTGTTCAAATAGTTTCTTCAGCAAGCTCTCTAAATTCTTTGCGCTGGCGGTCTGACTTTTGTTACGCAGTTTCGGGCGTAACAAGCAAAAGAACACTTTATATGGCAGAGATGTCGAGGTTCGTTACCCAAATATGAGGTACTTGCTATCAATGAAAGGTATCTACGGGCTGTGCGGTCCTTTACAAAAGACCGTGCGGTCCCAACAGTTTTGCAGTTCTCGCAAAAAGTCCGCGAAAATGCGGCCGCTGCGTATCATCTAACAAGTCTTGAGAAGGTAGCGATTGTTCTATGAGCGTTCGTTCAAAAGTAGCCAACAGTCCTTTGAATATCTGTAACAAACTGCAAGAAATCAGCAAAACATTTTTACGGTCTCCGCTTGCCTCTTCGCATGGCCGCCAACCCCGATTTTCTGAGAAGACGCTGCCGTCGATTCATGCAGCGACCGACTCCTTAAAGAATCGCCGGAGGCGGAAGTGCAATTTATAGGCAAGCAGGCACGGGAAAAAACCAATAGCTGATTTGCGGTCTGCTGCAGATGTTCAAAAAAGTGTTGGCCACTTTTTAGACGAACTCTGGAATAAAGAGTGTTACTTTTGCTCGGCATGTGCACGAAAATGCGTTTGCAAAAGTCACAACTCTCGCTGAAGGTTTGGCCAGCGTTTTGACGAGCTTTTGCAGAAAATTCTGTATTGCTGCCTGCTGGTAGAACATGTGAGGCTGAAGTGAAGTACCGCTCCCTAAATGTTTGGCCACGTCTCATTTGACAGAACGCTTACAGAAAAGCGCGAGTGCGTAGTCCGCTGCCCCGGCGAGTATGAGTCGAGGCCCTTGATTTTCTGTAGTGATTCATCTTCCGCCTGCACTGCGGCGCTACGAATGTACGGCCTCAGTAATGATTTCAGAGTGGCGGCTCGTTTGCATTGAGCGTCAGAGAAGGAATTGCTGCACAAGACGTGCACAAGAGCACTTACGTAAGCTACACTTCAACCCGAGTTTTTTTTACGCAAGTAATAAACAGCTGACCCGCTACCAATCCACAGACAACGATATGAAACGATATGAAATCAAATTTAGTATGTAAAGTACAAGATTAGAGAAAATAAACTTGGAAAATTTTAGAGAAAAATTGTGACTAAAAGTTGCATGCTTCTTACAGAAAATCTCCTATTACTGTGAAGAGAAATAACTCTGCACGCGTAAATAATGGTATGACTCCAAGTTGGTGTGTATATATGCATTGGAAAATAAGAATGAAGTATAAACTTTCAGACTTTATACATGATCTGTTCTACTCCCATAATTTACTATATAGGAACTTTTTACTGCTAACACTTCTCCTCTCTGTTAGGGATCGAGATAACAGAGTACGGGTCAAAAGCCACGACTTTGTGACTTATGCTGCAACTTCTGTCAAGCAGTGCAAGAGTCAGCTCTTGTCAGCACCCTTTTGTCGCAATGCCACTTATGGCATCGGTCATGTATATGCCCCCCCTCCCCACTTTGCCTTCGCGCCTCTTTTACTGGATTTTGTGGGTCACAAAATTCGAACGCGGCGTGCGCGGCAAAACGGCAACCGTAGCGGTGTGACTCCTGACCCGTAGCCGACTTAGTAACGACATTGGTTCTTGAGGAAGAAAGCGCGCCTCAATTAAACAACTCGGCAGATGGCGCGATCAACTGAGAAATCGTAAAAACCAAAAGTGGCAAAGACGAATCTTTTTACTGGTGTGCCGCTGTCACCTTTGTACGGACCCTAGGCTGAACTTGTAATAAAATTCGATACAGGCGATTATGTCCTGCTATACTTATCTAAGCAAAGTTTATGTGCTGTTTGAAAGATTCCATAAATGTCAAGTTCCTGAGTAGAATGATGTTTAGATAAGATTCGGCGTTTTGTATTGTTTGTTAAAAAAACCACTACCATAAGGAGTTATATCGGCACAAGTTCTGCTCAGTAAAAGAGAGCAGATCCAAAGATTTTATGTCCCCACTGTTCTGAATTTTATTGAGTCTAGGATTTGCAAATAAGAGATAGTCGACAGTGTCGAATATTGTTGTGCCGAACAGGTTGTTAGGTGGTCCTTTTATTGTCAGTACTCTTCGGCCTTACGTTTCGACGCTTTCGTCTTCATCAGAGGCCTGGAATGGTTCAAAGCTTCATCCGTAACTCCAGCCCATCAAACGTCTCTACCAGCCCTTGCCAGTTTTCGGCGCTTCCCCCAATCTAGTGCTATAAGAATTGTGATGGCAAAAGACATACCAGGGAACCACCGCTTCGTTAGATGTCCGTGCCGGATGTAGATGTTCGCGACGGACGACTGAGCTATACTGAGGGATGTATATCATCCATAGGGCACGGCCATCTAACGAAGCGGTGGTTCCCTGGTATGTCTTTTGCCATCGCAATTCTTATAGCACTAAATTGGGGGAAGCGCCGAAAATGGCAAGGGCTGGTAGAGACGTTTGATGGGCTGGAGTTACGGATGAGGCTTTGAACCATTCCAGGCCTCTGATGAAGACGAAAGCGTCGAAACGTAAGGCCGAAGAGTACTGACAATAAAAGGACCACCTAACAACCTGTTCGGCACAACAATATTCGACACTTACAATCATGCTCAGGTTTAATGACTACGGAACATGGAAATTATCAAATAGTCGACATTTTATTATCTCGCTTTACCGCTTCTATCTGTGCGATATAGGCGTAAGGTAAAAAAGCCATCCAGGGTTTGCTGAAGCTCATGTTCTTATTAATTCACTTTCATCTCCTATCTTGCCAATATGCGCAAAAGAGTCTGGATGTATCAAAGTGCTGCAAACTTGCATGAATATCACGAAACTGTGATTTAAAAAAAGTTGAAGGGATTTCCGGGTTGAACTGCCAGACAAGTCTCATGTCCGTCGAAGTCTGTCATGATTTTTTGAACTCGTTATTTGCTTGATAGATTATATGCTGTACAATTAAATTTTTTTCAGCATAATGTTCATCTTTACACTCTTTGTCATAGCGCTTTTGGGGTGTGGTCTTGAAGGAAAGAGCGAGAATAGAGAAGTTCCCAAAACTGCACTTCATTCAGCTCTTGAAAGTCTAATATCGAGCGATGGTGTAGACTTGACCAATGTAAGTGGACTTTTTCTTCTTGAAGATTCCTTTATTGATCCACTTTTCAGAGAGTAGGACAGTGTGTCATGAAATGTATTCTCAATCAGCAGCAAGACCCATGCGGAGAAGAGCGCAAACAAAAAAGAAAAAAGGAACAACCCACTCTTGGTAAACATGTGGGAAAGGAAAAGATAGACTGATGAATAAAAATCTGCTTTCGGTATCCGGAAACTTGACTCCATTTTATGTTTCTCTCGGATAAAGTGTTGTTGTCTTCGACTATGATCTCTAGGTACAAAGCTAACATTTCGGCATATTCGACCTGTAACAAGACTTTATGCAATCAAATTGCTCTTCTTCATTTACCATTGTGTCTGGTGCAAAACATGATTTCTAGATTGAGTCAAATGTGGAATGCTAGACCTAGAGGTTATACAGTTCTCGATCAAGTTGTGTCTGAGATAAGAGTGAAAAATGACATACCGTGACCAAGTTTTAGGCTCTCGCTCAAAATCATTCTGCTGCGACTCCTTGCTGATGGCGAAAAGATCATTGCACAGATCATTGATACTTTGTCTCAAAGACCTAAAGAGCTTCTTTTCCTTATGTCAAGCAAAAGTGGACACACTTCTTAGCAATACTGCTTTATGTCATAGTTGAATAAGGAAAGCACAATGTTTGCAAACACATAATCCAACGTTATTCTCACTCCGGTGAGTTTACTATAAATTGCTGCAAGGCCAGTTTAAGCCGACATAGGCTTAAATAAACATCGTAAGGTGCCAGTCATTGACAGAAATTTTGAAGCTTTCTTCAAGACAAGGTTAACATAGGTGTAGGACAGTGCTTCGAAATCACGCGGTCATTGCTTCAACCACAACCTTCTCCATTACATGATTGGTAGCATAAACCTGTGCTTGTTGCTTGTTGCTAATTGGTTTTAGACCTCATTTCTTTATGGGGATCGTGGCACTCAAAGGACCACACTTATGAGTCATAGCAGATCTAAAGCGTACTAGCTTCTAAAAGAAAAATCTTTAACAATGGTTTTCTCCAGAGTAGCAAACTATGGATTGAAATGGTGCGGGCGAAATGGAAATCATATGCAAGAAAAAGAAGAACGCAGACATCACTCTGACACTGGAAATCGCTGTAAAATATGACAACCAGCTGGCGTTGCTGGCTCAGCTCGGCCCTATCATTGCATTATTATAGAAATCATTATGCCCTATATCTGCACAGCGCTCTCCTGTTCCGGTCTCACCACTAGTGTATGTACCCGCTTTACTTTCACATTGTTTTCGTAGTATGCCTACTCAGTCACAGTTTTGTGCCAACTTCCAGCCTCCCACCTCAAGCTTTTTGAGATTCGATAAGTTGCAACTAATATTTCGTAATCAGCATGCTCATTTAAGTCCTCTGTCAACTTCCAGGACCGTAGCTCCTACAAACAATTGACGAAATCGATAAAGGTAATCGATATTCAATGAATAATGGAGTTTGCAAAAAAATTGATAAAATCGATAACGCTTCATTTGTGTTGATGTAACTATAAATAGATTAAGCCCATCTCAATGATTTCCACGACCACTCCGGATATTGGAAAAAGAGTAATACGATAGTATCCCACTTACACTTCTCGCATTCCTCCCACAGACTTTGTCAAGAATGTGTTAACCAACTTCTGCAGAAACCTCTTCTTATTACGACACAAGTGATTTAGAAACAAGGTTGTGTACGTCACGCAGCCACCGTATGGAAATCCTACTTTGTTCCTAATTAGCTTGCGGAATGGGCACCGAATCTGATGTCATATTGTCCTTGGCTCTGTAAATTAGCCACCTACTCACCATTCAGCATAGCGATTACTGGTTTGATGACGCTCCAGCAATTACATGCTGCACGCTTTTTGAATTAGATGACCGTCTTCAAATTATGGTCGGCCCTTATCGCAAATTTACATCCGTATTTGTTTTCTCGCTTGCTTTCTCTACGATCTGGCCAATCTTGGGCGGCGTTGACGAAAACCAGGTGAAGAAGTCGCAACCAATTCTACAGCCCTAACCATAACGATACGAAGCCTTAGATTCCTCTAGCAAAAATTAAATGTCAACGTGATTGATCCACACAAGCAGCACACCATTATATGCAGCGTAGAACGCTGATTCCACATCGGTGTCGCATTTCTAAACGCCTTAATGGAGGATTTGTGAGCAGTTTTATTGCTAAGGAATTGTACATGTAATTTCGAAATCTAACACACGTGTCTCTTTTAGCACACCTTAGCTTAGTAGGTTATCCAAAAAACAAACCCCTTTCTAAATAAATTAAGCTGTTTTGCCTTTCAGTAGACTTAAAGGCAGTGACTTGGCAAATTCGCGCCCTGGGGGATATTGCTGTGGTGGGTTCCTTGTCATCGCACTGATCTCCAGGCGCAGTCCGGCTGGTTAATGTTCCCCTTGAGCCGAGAAAATAGCCCTTGAATCGGCGCGCGCAACCCAATCGGCGCGCGCTCGGACGACTTCGCTTATCGTTCGGCGCGGGACCTCACGACTGCTCAACCGCAATTTGCATGCTATCTGTGCCGATGTAATCGGCACCTCTTTCTGTAGCCTAATTCTTATGCCAGATTGCCGTAAAGGTCATGCCATAAGCATGACCTGCTGTGATATGAGTGCGTTGATTGCCCAGATGCATGCCAAGTTACTTTGCTCCGCCTGTTATCGTTAGCATTCTACCACAGTCCCAATGCGGACAAGTCGTCTGACTCAACATATCTGTTGGGCTAGTGTACTGTGCACACCAACAGATACCTCCACAGAGGCGAGAACTACGCCTAAGGCTACGTCAACGTACGTCATCCTAATATTTCTGGTGCATCGGCTAAACAAGACCGATACCATGCTCCGCTTCCAAGGACAAGACAGAGGCCACAATGGAGCAATTCCGACCTTGTATCATCACAGGGAGGATGTGAAGATACACGCCAAAAGACTCGCGGAACTATTACGAAAGTACGCGGGCTATGGTGAGAAAATATTATTTCCAGACGATATACAGGAGCGACAAGAAATATGCGTCGACAAATTGTACGCACTACCAAAGTGCATTTTCGACATCCTCCTGGGCTTACACTTGATGCGGTCGAAAACCGACGTGCTAAAGGGGCTGCGTATAAGCGAGTACAAGATCAAGAAGCTAGTGGCAGAAGATTGGGATTTGCTCGACAAAGAGATAAGTCAAATCACTAATGATACCCAAATGTTTATTTACACACTGGAAGAATGTGAATCAGAGCTAAAAATAGAACTGTCCAGATTGGAACGTGAAAAATCGTTCAATGCACTGCAAAAAACCAACGGAAACGAGCAAACCTTTTTGGAACCAGCAACCGAAGAAGATAATTACAACGTGCCCTTATCCGCTAAGGAGTTCTCTGCCACAGATGGCTCATCTGCTCACGACGAAACAGAACAGAAATCTGCTAGATCGGATATCCCAATTATCGATGTAGATGGCTTTAGCTGTGTGCAATTGAAGCAAAAGAATCACAGGAAACCGAGGTGCAGTTAGTCAATAGCAACGATGACCAATCCACGAACACAACCTTCCTCGTCCACGCTGTGGCATCTCTGCAGGCCATGGCACTTCCAGTAACAGGAGAAGCAAAGACAGTCGTCTTCAATGATGAGCGAACTCCCGTTTTATTCTCATATAAGGCTATTGTGCACATTGACAATATCTCTGAGCGCAAGTCTTTATCACTCTATCGTGATGAATGTACTAATCACAAAACTTCATTTTCATTCAATTTCATCGCCTGCTTATTCCAACGATCTGCCTTTTGTCGTCGCCACGTCCGCTCATATTTCGCGGATCTCAAGACAATTCGAGCTGTACGCGCCACTCACCAACGACCACTGCTCTATCCAGACAAAAAGAAGAAAGTACGAAATGGAGTAGATTATTTGATGTGTTTCTATCATGTCTTCTTCTTCCCTCCTCTTCTGCTTCATAGATGGCCGGCCGCAGCGTGCCGATGTAATCGGCACCTTTCTCTGTACCCTAATTCTTATGCTGCCAAGGTCATGCCATAAGCATGACCTGCTGTGATATGAGTGTGTTGATTGCCCTCAGACGACTTGTCCGCATTGGGACTGTGGTAGAATGCTAACGATAACAGGCGGAGCAAAGTCTTGGCATGCATCTGGGCAATCAACACACTCATATCACAGCAGGTCATGCTTATGGCATGACCTTTACGGCAATCTGGCATAAGAATTAGGCTACAGAGAGAGGTGCCGATTACATCGGCACACAAACCAAAAATTACAAGCAGCAGGGTGTTCGTGCCAGGGCCTCCCAACTTTCCATTGAAATTCTCGTCCGAGCTGGCTTTTGGAAATTGGTTATAGTCCCCGAAAAAGGTCTTTTCACCCGTTTTAAAGCCCAAATTCAAAGTCGACGTGTCGAAAAGGTCCAAAACATGCAAAAAGATGGAAATGTAAAATCAAACATGCGGTGGTTCGATTTTGCAAAACCTACAAAATCAAACCCCGCAAATCTGCGACCTGAAGTTTTTCGCTTACCTGGAGTAATTCGATCCGCTGATTCTAAAAATCCAAATTAGAGAGCTCAAAAATGGCTAAAAGCCGCATTTTCAAAGACCTCTCATTTTGAATTCAGTAAACGTAGCGCGGTGGAAGCGGCTTACTCAACGGTAGAGACACGGTGGTATAGCATCATTTATTATAACGACCAGCACTACTGTAACAGATAATGATTTATTGGCACGAAAACATGAATGAATCTCAGAGATCTGATAAAGTCGAACAGGGAAGGCAGGTGGTTCGGCTGAAGGCGGCATCAGCCGCTTGGTAGCTGACAGCAGCGGCTTGGGACTGGGATTCCCTCTTATGATCACCAATGTGGCTTATGAATCATGCTGCAGAATGCGTGTCATCCTCATATCTGCAACAATTGATCTTATTCACATAACACACTTATCCTTTATCTGTGTCTTAAATCTTGTTCTCACAACACAGCTTTATCGTTTGCATTCCTATGCACATACGCTTACACCTCCCCCATTTACCCACAAGTCCGCCCCCGGACTTAGGTTGGGATTCGTACTGAACTTTAGCAGGATAGAAGAAAAAGGGAATCAGATAAAGCGTTGCTGAAATGACCTATCGCTACC